GTTTGAAGGAGATGCATCTTAGCTCTGGAAATTGTTATTGAATATTTCAATGCTGTTGTAATGAAATGCTTCTTCTGATTGTGTTGTTATTAAATATTTTTTAATTGCATGTAGGAAACAAAAAAGGGGGGGAATCAAAATAGATAATATTGTTTACATTTCAACTATCAGTTGACACTAAGTTTACACAGAAAGTCAATTTAGTTCAATGGGGTAAAACTTAGTCCCTAAAGAGTAAGCCAGGAGGTTAGAGAGATGGCTTAGAAATTAAGAGCACTGACTGCTCTTGTAGAAGACCCAGGTTTGGTTCCCAGCACCCACATGACAGATAACAACCATCTGTAACTCCATTTTCAGGGGATCAGACACCCTTTTCTGGTCTTTGCAGGCATTACACTTTGCATGCATGGATACACTTACATACATGCAGGTAACTCTTACACATTGAACAAAAAAATACTAAGCCAGATGTGATGGAACACACCTGTAATTTCAGTGCTCCAGAGGTTGAGGATAGAGGATTGCTGCACGTTCAGGACTGACCTGGCCTACATAGTGAGTTCTAGGCAAGCCAATCCCACATACTAAGGCCTGTCTCAAAACAAAAACAAAACAAGAGCCAGTAAGATAAAAGCAGATAAAGGCATTTTCTGCTAAGCCTGAGGACCCGAGTTTTGATCCCTAGGACACACATAAGTAGAAGAAAAGAGCCAACTCTAGAAAGTTGTCCTTGACCATTACACATCGCACTCACATGTATACACACACATCAATTAGTGTAATAATTTTTTTATAGTAAAATGACAGACGACCAGAGTCTGACTGTGGCTGCACAGCTCCTTTTCACTGGACAAGTCTCCTGCCACATCATCATTCTCATGTAAATTGGGAGATGCAAGGGCACAGAGACAACAAAATAAAGAAAAATTGCAACTGCAGTCTCATGTAGCTTTGAGCCTTGGCTTAAGTTCTATGGTAAGAACAGCTACTATGGTTCCCCTTTCATAAGTGTAAGACAGAATTTAAAGAGTTACTGGGGTTTCCAGCTGCTAACAAAAGTGCAGAGGTTCCATCCCAAGGCACAGACAGGTGCAACCTACCTTGCCTATTTCATAGAATTCCAGGGAATGAAATAAGTGTCCAAGAGTTCTATTATACATAGCCACACACGTGTATAACAAGGTATTGTTAAGTCTAAGCTTTCCATTCTCCAGTAGGATACCAACATATCTTTTCTCATTCAAAGCTATTCTTGCCAGAACAAAACCCCCGTGAACTCCCTATCTAATCCACATATCACACACAATCAGTTGAATAAATGGGCAGATTACTGTTGCATTAGAAGTGATCTATGAGTTTAATTAAATATCCTAACAAATGGATATATTCACACTGCCTAGGCCACACTTTGCGCCTCTTAGAAGACAGACTATAATTAGACAAGACATATAGTTGCACTAGTAAATGAACCCCGTTCTCAGAATCTAATCTTTCATCCAAACTAAAAAGCATTATTCTAAAACTACATCCTCAACTGAAAGTATACATCAAGACAGTCCTGTATCAGCCTGCTGTAACCAGGCCACAGTGTTTCCCCAAGCTGATGCAGGAGGGAATTGCTGGGGCAGGGAGTGAGAGGGATGCAGCTCTTGAAACAGCACTAGTTTGATGGAGTTGAAGAATCAACTCCTGGCAATAGCACTTTAGAGATAACTGTATTCTAATGAAAATGCTTTCCCACCACCACAGCTTAACAGGGCAATTCACTGTTCTCGTCACGTGTTGAAAAAAAAATCATTTTGGTGAAAAAAGGCAATTCTCAAAAATCCAGGACTTACACAGGCTGCTCTGTGTTAGAATTACTGTCCCTACTAAATGACCAGTGCACCAGAGGCCAAAGAGACAGCATTTTCTACTGAATCCCCCAACAAGGTTTAGTACAGTGCGTGGGCATTGATGGGCCCAGGAAATATGTTGTGTTTTGTTTTGTTTTGTTTTTTTCTATAATGTAGCATACTTTAAAAAACAAATTCCAACTCCTAAAATGATGAATTCTTATGAAAAAAAGAAAACCTATAGACTCATTTTCAAGTCCTTGAAGTAAGGCTCCTCAGTTTTCACTGGGCCGTGTTCACTTCAATTATTTCTAAGTGTTCCCAAAACCATCATGGATCAGATACAAGGCCTTGTTAAAGATTTAAAGGAAGTCTCATCCAGTCAAATGATGGACTGCATTCATCCGCCACCAGTCTGGAAAAGCACAAGTCAAGTAAGCATACAAGTCAAGTTAAGTCTCCAAAGCCTGAGACTCCAGGCAATTAGGGACAATGTTAGCTCTATTTAAAATGCTCTGAGAGACTATCTTACCCATACCTTCTTTCACTTAAACCAGAGCTTGATGGCAAACTCATTTTCAGTCCAGGACAACTGAACACCTGTGGACAGTACTTCATCTCACTTCAGGCATAAGAGCCCAGAGAGAGTATCACACAATTCAAGTCCACAAGCAAGGGTTTGTAAGGTGCAGGAATAAAATCCTGCTTGGTTTCATCCTGAGTGAATCTTCCCTCTGGAGTCCTCAGTTACCCAGAATTAAAGTTGTAAATGTAGACCAAACCCCCTCCCCCCAGCACTCTATAAATGATCTCTCCTGAACCCATCCAGTGGTTCCCAACCTTGGGAAGGTAAACAAACTCTCCTAACACTAGCACCTCTAACTCAGGAATCTCTAACTCACATCATGTTTAATGTCTCTAAATCACTAAGACATTTTATGAGACTTTAAACCCAGATACAAAGTTTAGAAGCATTTCCATCTCCCTGGATGTAAAGACTTGGGAAATATTAGCACACAAAAGGATAACGATAAGATCAAAGCCAACAACAGATGAAATACATTTCATGGTGTAAACCACAAAAGCTGTGTTGTTTAGAGGGCTCTAGATCCCAGGTAAAGCCTTGCGTAGGAAAAGGTAGTATTCGCCTAGGAAGGCAGATCGCTAAGACGCGGCAAAGCTTTATGTAATTGTAAATAAAACCAGCATCAAGACAACAATGCGGTCTGCAAGCTGCAAAAGCACCCAGCCTGCTTCACCCCGGCTCCTTCAGCTGGGCGGAGAAAGCAGCGGCCTCTCAGCGCCACCCTCCCCTCCCTCTCTCTCTCCGTCCCTCCCTCTCTCCATCCCTCCCTCTCCTCCCTCCCTCTCCCCGCCCCCAGCTGGTGTATTCAGCAGCCTAGGGAGATTAAGAGGTGCTCGCAAATGTCACCAAGACTCCGGACTGATCTAACGTTTCCTAAGCTCCCTGGACCAAAGAAACTAGAGAAGCACCATCCCGCGGTGTTAGATGCCCCGGCCTGCCACCCAGCCTCCCGGGCCCGGTCGGGGACGAGAGCCCAGCGGGTGGACTGAGCCACCGCGGGCCGAGCGGGGCAGCTACCTGAGCTGTCCGTGGTGCTGGCGCGGTGCGGAGGCTGCCGGGCGGGACTGCGCGCCGCGGCCGCGGTCACCCTCTGCGGGCCGGCCCCGGTGCCGGAGTCCCCGTGACTATCCACCAGCTGCAAAGATTCATAACCATCGCTGCTGGTCTTTTTCCGGTAGCTCCCGAGGAGGCTCATGGGCAAGCCCAGAGAAGAAGGGAGGAAAATCAACCTGGGAAAGGAAGGAGGAGGGGAAGGCGGGACGGCTAAAAGAGAAATCAAAAAAAATAATAATAATCAAGTGTCCGACATGACGCAAAGAGGAGGGAAAGGAGGGAAGCGGCCACCGAGCAGGGCTCTGCGAGCTCAGCCGCCGCCCCGGGTAGAGAGTGCAGCCGGCCGGGTCACCCGCAAGCTGGGCAGCGCCCGAAGGAGCGTGGAGGTGTCGCCCGCGCCCCTCGGCACAGCGGGGCAGCTCCGGGAGTGACTGGCCGGGGGGCAGGGAATAAACAGAAGCGAGTAAAGGAGGGGAGAGTGGAAGGGAGGGAAGCTGAAAGCGGAAAACGGGGCGGGGCGGGATGGGGAGGGGACCACGACAGCGCGGAGGGAGGGGTGTGTCAGCGCGCGCGCCACCGAAGAAAGGGTTAGGTGTCCACCCGGCCGGGACACCCAAGGCGGCGCTGAGAGCCAGGCACGCCCTTTTCGTGTAACTTAGCCTATCTTCGTCGGAAGATTCTGCAAGTGAAAGCTGCCCGGATGCTGATCGTCCTGGTAGACTGTCTTGTAACTCCAGTGGGAGGGGAAAATAGAAGAATCCTGTTAACCACAGGCCGTCCTTACGCTCAGAGCAGCATTCTGCACTCCCCAGGACCGAAAGAGCTGGAATCGGGCAAGGAAGCTAGGGGCCCTCCACCAAGTAAGAAGATGAAGATCGGTAGAGCAACTATTTGTGGAAGGAATGAATGGGGGAGGGGACGTTAAGTCACGTGCAATTTCCGACCTGTCATTGTTTACCTGGAGAAAGGACTCTCCCACTCATCTGGTTTGAAAGATGGCTGGGAAGCTAGGTAGACCTGGATTTCCTTTCCATCCTCTAGCCTCGTCCCTTATTTTTCTTTCAAATTTGTAGGCAAAGAAAGCAGTTATTATCAGAGGGGTATCTATCACGAAGTTAATTAAGTTGGAGGATGGTGTCAAAGCCCCTTTCTTGAGGAAAGCCCAGCAAGCCCATTAGAAGATTTTTATATTTGCAAAGAGGTCCCCCGGCATGTATAAGTTTCAGGCCTCCAAACTCATATAAACTGTTAACTCTCAAGATGGTATTACCCAGTGTTGGTTTTCACCTGAAATAGTATTTCAAAAATTTCCCTCATTAACTCAGGTGAAAGATTAGGTGAAAATGTTAGTTTCAAAAATATCAGTTTTAGGGGCTTGGAGAGATTGCTCAGCGGTTAAGAACACTAGTTGTTCTTGCAGAAGACCCGGGTTCAAATCCCAGCACCCACATGGCAGCTAATAACTGTCCATAACTCCAGTTCCAGTTCCAGGGGATCCAACAACCTCTTCTGTCCTCCCCGAGCACTGCACAACCGGGTGCACTTACATGCAGGCAATACACACATACACATAAAATAAAAATAATAAATACAATATTTTTTAAAATAAAAAAATATCAGTTTCAAGGACTTGAGGGATGGCTCAGCAGCTAAGGGCACTGGCTGCACTTCCAAAGGACCCAGAGTTTCATTTCCAGCACCCACATGGCGTTAATAACCATCCAGTTCCTGGGTATCTGACACCCTCTTCTGGCCTCCTTGGGCTTTACAAGACACAAGTGCACTTACATACATGCAGGGACAACACTCATACACATAAAATATAAGTAAAAATAAATCAACTATTTAATTAATTAAATCATTTTTAACCAAACACCACTTTTAATCCCAGCACTTGAGAGGCACAGGCAGATGGATCTCTGTGAGTTCCAGGCCAGCCTGGTCTACAAAGAGAGTTCCAAGCCATCTGGGGCTACAGGGAGACCCTGTCTCCAAGTGTGTATGTGTGTGTGTATGTGTGTGTGTGTGTGTGTGTGTGTTCATTCCTGCGCACCCACATGTGTGTACATTCCCTTCTTATACCTTCAGAAACTAAGTAATCTAAGTAATGCAATGTGCTGGAGCTCAAACACAAAGTCTGTTTGAAAGTCTTCTCAACTTACACAGCTTTCCCTTACTGTTTTGGTTTTGTTGTTGTTGTTGTTGTTGTTGTTGTTGTTTTAAGTGACATCAGGACTCTAATCAAATGACAACATCTAAGAGGCTTCTGACCAGACCATCGGGACTCTTAAGTTCCCTGGAAGCTCTAGCTCTATTGACCTAAACACAATGAATTAACTGGGTGGACAGGCATTTCTTGTTGAAAGATCACCAAACACACGTCCTGCAGGAAGAGAAGGACTGAGCAGATGTCAGGAGTGCTGAGTGCTAGATCCTTCCATTCCTTCTGGAGGGGCATGCACTCCAGAATGTTCTCAGATGCTGAGGTGCCGCAAGACCAGAAGCAGAATTCCGAGCTAATGCTTGCTTATGGTAACTTTGAATGGCAGTGGAGAGAACTGTAATAGGACTTTAAATACAAATGCTTTACTTTCAAACTTCCAAATTTGTAAGACTGAGCTATTTTGGTTACTTCACCATAGTAACTTAAAAATCTAGTAACAAAATATTTTCCAGTAACATTTAATAATATCTCTCTGCACTTTTTCAACTCATTACTGACCCATGGGAAACACAAACATCCAAGTGTCTAGTGTGTGTCTTGGCAGGTAGTGACTTTATTATCACCGGATTGAGAGAATTTAGAGAGGATCGTTTTTGAAATGAAGAAGTGTACTCTTGGCTATATTTGCTCAACTTTAGAGCTGCAGACACACTGCTGGGAGACACTGTAGATGAAACATATGCCTTTGTATTTTGGATGTCTATCTCCCAAGTTTGAAAATTTAAAGAAAGTCATGAATGAGCTAAAAAGCATCTTTTTTTTTCTGGGACAGAACCCAGAAGCTCACACATGCTAGGCAAAGGCTGTACCTCTGAGCTACACCCCCAGACCAAATCATCTTGTTTTTTAGCTTTATACTTAACTGAATACAAGCAAAATCAATCAGAACAACTAGTAACAATTCTCCAAAACTGGAACACAAAGACTAGAAAATACACTATCTAGATTAATTCACAATAGCCTAAAAACTAAATTTGGGGGACTAAATTGGAGCATGTGCCAACCTCAAGACTAACAAATTCTTAAAAAGCTCACTTATCCATGAAGATCTCACCTCTCCACTCCATCAAGAGTACAAATTAAAGGACTAGAGAGATCAGCAGTTAAGAGCACTGGCTGCTCTTTCAGAAGACCCAGGTTCAGTGACCAGCACCTTCATGGCAGCTAACAACCATCTATAACTCCAGTTCCAGGATATCCAATCCCATCTTCTGGCCTCCACAGGCATTGCACCCATGTGGTGCATTTACATACATGTAGGCAAAACACACACATTAAATAAATAAATAAATAAATAAATAAAGCATATTTAAAGTATTAGTACTACACAGCATTACAAAGTGTTAGTTGAATAAGTACCTAATATAGTATAGTAAGCACTGAGATGTTTTCTGTTGTCACTACTGCTGGTCTGTCTCAGGTGTAGCTCTATCCTGTGCCTTAGATATCTTAGTCCTCCCATGAGAGGATATGAAAAGAAGGCTAAGTATTTTAATTCCAAAAATTTATGAATAGAAAGTTATCTCTGTGTTATTATTTAGAACTTGAGATGGGGTGCTGGAGAGATAGCCCAGTTAAAAAAAAAAGTGCTTGCTCACATGCATAAGAGCCTAAGTTGGTCCACAGCACCCAAGTTAAAAAAAAAAAAAAGGGTCAGGCATGTAGCCCCATATTTGTAATCCCAACACTGGGGAAGCAGAGGCAGAGGCAGGAGGATGCTCACAGGCCAACCAGTCTAGCTTAAATCAGTGGGTACACACACACACACACACACACACACACACACACACACCAAATAACAATAATGAGAACTTGGGCCTAAGGAAGGGAGGTGGCACTGAAAAATCAAGGTGAACATGCATGCCCACTCTCCTGTTTCCCAAGATCAAGACTGCTCTATAACTTATTTTATCTCAAGAATAAAAGATCACATATAGGGCAGAGGCAAGGGGCTAGTTGCCCACTTTGGGGAAAGAATTCTCTCTCCTTGACTTTACTATTGGTGACTCTTGCTTTTACTGACTCAGTGACCAGGGTCCACACTTAGATGTTCAGGAGCTGGGCTCTATTCTTTCTATCCCACCCCTACCCCACCTCAGATGCTGTATCCTCACAGCAAACACTACACACTTCAGGCAGTGAGGCTAAAAAAATGAAGGTAAACCAGAACCCTGCTGCTTGATTTCCAGGAAGGATGACACCTTGACAGAGACTGGTGTTCTGGAATCAAACTGCCCAGAATTGAGTCCTAAACCCATGAACTCTGGCCATGTTATCTAATCTTTGATCCCCTTGGAAAAGGAGTGTAGGTCCATCAGAACAAGGTTCTCACACCTAGTGAGAATAAAATCAATTCTTTAAAAAAAAAAATGTATGAGTCTTTTGCCTGCATGTAAGTGAACTGGTGTCAGGCAGTGCCTGCCGAGGCCAGAAGAGGGCATCAGATCCCCTGGAACTGGAGTTACAGATGTTGTTAGCTGCCATGTGGGTACTGGGAACCAATCCAGGTCTTCTGCAAGAACAGCCACCACTGAGCCACCTCTCCAGTCCCTGGTAATAAAGTCAATTCTTAACATATGAGAAAATGCACAACAAATACTATTATCATTATCTATCATTATGATTACAACTATTATTATTACCTATTGCTGCTGCATTCTGCAATTTTTATATCTAATTAAATCACATTTTCAAAAATATGATTAATTTCCTATCTTTAAAATTAAACTAAAATTTCCCCAGACTAAGAAGCATCATTGTGATAAATGACAATATTGAAAGCATTTTGTGTGATGTGAATAATGGTTTTTATGCACCTGTATGCCTGTATTTCCTATAGGATTTGGAGTCCTTAAGAAGAAAAATCCAAGGTCTCCTCATGTGTGTGAGTCCCCATGACACCAAGAAAGCACCCAGACAGTAAGTAAATACGAAGGTCCTGGGTTTGATCCCCAACACTGCTGAAACAAAAGAAGGAAGGAAAGAAGGAAGGGAGGGGGGAGGGAGGGAGGGAGGGGACAACTGAATTAACAAATGAATGAATAAACAAAAATACCACACTATTAACTGCTCCAGTGATTTTCCCCCTTTTCCATTAGTGTGTGTGTGTGTGTGTGTGTGTGTGTGTGTATGGTATGTATGT